GCGTCACTAAGCTTTCCCAGGTCCTCCAAAGCAGTGTCAGGTTTGGAATAAAGCCTCTCCAGCTCGTGCAGGCAAGCATTAATACCTGCCATGGTTGCCTCACAAAGCTCCCTATCAATCACCGTGAGGCCAAGGGAATCCTCATCATGGCAACCCACGCCGTTCTCCTTAGCTAACAATCACTCACCATTTTGTGGGAACTGGAATGCGACATCTCTTCCCACGCGGTTAGGCCAAATGGTAATCGGCACCTGGGAGGTAGACCGTGTTCCCATCAGATTTGCATTAGATAAGGGTTCCTCGATGGAGCTAACATTGGAGCTAACATGTTCTCTAAAACAAATTGAGTGCGTGTAAAGGTATGTAAGCCACACTGATTTTGTTGCAACGCTCATGGACATCATGAAACTAATTTACAAAGTGCCTAGCTTCCTCGGGTAGTCCGTACCCATCAGCCATGGCGGACATATTGCAATCATCTGGGAGGTGCACCTTGGGTGCAAAGGGGATTTGGATTGATTTGGTGATTTGGTTGATGTCTCACTTTGTCCATGTTGGTGTCATATCCTAAGACAAAGGGCATCGGCATAAGGTTCTTCAAGCCCTTCCTGATTGTCAGGGCTCATGAGAGCTGTGGGTACCATTGACCTTGGAATGAGAGTGCTGCAGAATATTCATAGTAACACCTTTTGGTGGACAAATTTAAGGACAACACTGAACTTCAACCCATTCTTCTTTCTTCTCAATGGCGTACTCAAACGGCTTGGGAACATCCATATCAGCATCATCCTCGGGATGAAGCCCGTCCTGGAGTGCAATTGTTTGACAAACAAAAGGTAGAGCAAGAACCAGGTCCAGTTATTGTTTTTTGGAATGTTTTGGTGGTGAGTCATTTTGCCCCTCGTACTTCAATCATCGGAAGATGGAAGACACATGAAGACACATGAAGACACATAATTCCATCACGTACCTCCATACCTCCCTACCCTACCTACTGATTTATATAATCCCACCATCCATCCCATCATCCCATCTAAATTTTAACATCAGTCTATGATCTATTTTTTAGTATACGTGCACACCTGTCATCATCATCCGTCACCAGCTTGATATTCAGCATCCTATCATCAGCATCAAACCAGAATCACCAACATCATCCTAAAGCGAAATGTAGACAAACAACAAGGCATATTTTAGGGTCCTCCCCACCATGCTTGCGATGCTTCTGGGCAGGCTTCTTGCTGGATCCTTTGGCTGAAGCAGGCCTTTTGGAGGGCTGGCCGGTCTTGGATCCTCCAAGTCCATTGTCCACATCTGACGCACTGGGAGGAGGGTGATCCCCATCCTCATCCGATTCATCATGGATCGGATCATGAGTGTCATCTGGTACTGGTTTGTTCTTTGCGGCCTTCCCCTTTGACTTGGGCCTCCCTTTGGGTTTGGGTTTAGCTTTTGCTTCAGCATCTGGTGATGAGTCCTCGGACGACCCAACACGACCAGGGAGAGCATGGCCATTGGCTGGTCCTGACAGGGAATGACAAAACACAGGGAACCATTCCCGAAAGAATCCCCGAGGTGTTCCAATCAGCAGTGTTTGTTGCCTTGTCCATCAACACGGCTTGCCCCCCGAAGGTGCATCAGGTGTGACTGCGCGAGCCCATACTGCTGAATTAGGTGGAGTTGGGCGGGTGGTTCCATGCGGTGGTGGGCTTGGCAAAGCGTTTGTAGACATCAGCCGCTGTAAGTTGAAAGCCTTGGCTAACGACAGCTTTTGTTGGTGGTTTGACGGGGCCAACAACATTCATGTATTGGATTTGAAGGTGTAAGGTCAACCAAGGGGCTGGTGGCCGGAATGCAGCTGTAAGCGGCACTTCAGTCACGGAGTCGTCTTCATCCGCCATGGTTCCAATGGCCTACTACTATCTATCTCCGGTCTATATGAGACAAATGACCCTGGCAATGTTGTTTGATAGATGAAAATATAGAATAATTCGATCTCAGTCAGATTGTCCCAATCTGAATTTCCATCAATGAAACACAAAGATCCCTCCAGTTGGCAAAGGAAAGGGAAGGAGAGTGATTGCAAAACAACAACAAGTTGATCTCCATCTAGTTTTTGCCCAGGTTGATTGGCCTGTTCGGCAAACTTGTGATCATCAGGAACCAACCCCTCAGCTTTCCATCTTCAACAAACTCTTTTTGGTTGACAACATCCAGACGAGGTAAACATGGAGCATGTAAATAACAACATCCAGACGAGGGATCGTTCCTTAGCAAACCCGAGAAGGCAAGCGACTTGCTTGATCCTACAAACGCAAGAACCACAAGTAGCACTCAGTGTAAGAGTGCCCCACTTTGAGGCTATGTGCTCCCGGAAGCTGTTTCCTTCAGTGTATTGAAACGAGTCCTTTTCTTCTTGGAAGGTTTACCACCACTACAGAGTTACTGCATCATTGGCACAGCTTCTCAGTCAGGAAGTGGATATAGCCTCAAACCAAGCAAACCGTCTCATTGTTCACTTCGAGCTGGTGCTTCAGAAGAACCACGGGACGAATGGGCATTATGACTTTGCCCCCCTTGGAATTCGAAGCTGAGCTATCAATCCTCAGGGCGAATGCTTCTGCCATACAAATTGAGACTTGTGGGATCACCAAACACCAGCACGCCCTAAAAAGTTTAAAGAAGAAGAGTGGCCTGCGTCTCCAGGCCAGGCATAGGTTGTCTGCATCCTTCACACCGGGAATGGAGACATAGGCACCGAACGTCTTCGCTGTAATTGGCGCGGTTTTCTTCGGTTTCTTATTCTCCTTCTTGACTCCATCCTCTGGTGGTTCATCAAGCACGAAAACCAGCGGCTTTGCTGATTTGAAGTTCCCATCAGAGTCTTGCTCGTGGTGACTGAGTTCCATCTTCACCTTTATGGGATGTCAGGATGATTCAGGATGTATGGATTTGGAGGAAGCATTGCCACAAATCCCTTTATTTGGGTTGAGGTCTAATTCTGGTAAGGAACATAATTTAGCACACCCAAGCCTCACCAAGATCCTGCAGGTCACTGATGATGCTTTGCAGTGCGACGGCCGTGTCAGCATTCTCAAAGGCCTGAAGGTGGGTGGGTAGGGACTTCTTCTCGAGGATGATGTAGTCCGACCCAGAGATATCAAAGGAGAACCAACGGCCATCAGGATCTTCTGTTGTCTCGCTCGCCTCCTGAGGTTTCCCAGAAGACAGCCATAGAAGTCCCAGGATGTCCCGGGTTTTAACAAAAAAAGCAGAAAATCAAAACATGTTTCCCAAATTCCCACCACGACTCCTTCCCAGAGCGCCATTCACCAGAGCCAAAGCTAAACCTAGGTTGGGAAAATCTTTCATTGGGGAAATTGCTGGTGAAACTAGAT